GGAAAAAAAGCGCAAAGGATCTGATGGTTGATCAATATGCACAAGAAGGTGGGGTACACGCCGCCTAAAGTGCGCGCTCAACAACAATCGTTTCAGGACCCAACTGGAGAAAAAGTGGGGAAATAAGGGACAAAATTTACAAAAAGAAAGGCATTCCGCCGCAAAAACACGATATCTGGCCTGATGGTGAAAACAGAGCGTAAAGCTCGACAACGGCCTGGCACCAGACAAATCAGAACAAAAAAGAAGGAAACAGACGCTCGGTACCTGGATGGAAAACGCTAAGAAGTTCTGCCTGTCTCCAATGGCTCTCTCTGTCATACTATCCGTCGACCAACGACATCGAAGATGGACCATGCCTGAACGAAGCGCGGCGCGCTAGGGGGCAACACTCACACCCATCGGTAACCTAAAGAAAATACATATAATTATAAATAGAAAAATCACAGCACACGCTCCCTACTACCCATGCCGACGAATCACCCTACTAGACGCTTCCAACTTACCCAACCTACACCACCGAAGGAAAAACAAAAAAAGAAGTGTAGTACGTAACCGTGGGGATAACAAAAGGACGTAAGGCAAACAGAGCGTGAATAACGACAGACTGTCACTGAAGAGCCTGCGCGGCACTAAGTGGCGCGCGTATAACAAGGTACGGGAAAGGTTATCCTGTCGGAGGCCGGTCTGGAAACTGCTCAGGGCTCCTGTCGGCGAACGGAGAGGCCATCACTGATGACCCGTGGGCACTTGGACCATATCCTGCTTAAAACCGTGCTTCGTTCCAATTGCCGTCCTTCATCGTCGTCCTGCTGATGGTACCTTCCAGCATCTTGCTCGGCAATTCCAATCCTTCTAGCACGGCTGCTCTCCGCTTTGTACTAGGGGTGGTGGGCGAACTAAAGGGGCGCGGCCTCGAGGGCCCAAGTGCGCTTATTGCACCAACGAGACTCACCTTACGGTGCCCCATGTAGCACTACGCCGGGGACATAGGTCGCTACGGGTCACAATTGGGCCAATCTTGTACTACGGACTAAACTACTAAACTAAACTACGGACTACAGGAGGTTAAACTACGGGGACAAGACTAATACCGGTTGTAGGGAAAACTAAACTACAGTAGAGCGAAGAAAAGAAGTGGTGTGAAAGAAAAACTAACAGGGTACGGATCAAAGGACCCCCAGTACCAATCCAAACCCATACCCAGCCCCAAACTCAAACCTACCTAGAAAACAGAAAAATACAAAAGCCATAAAACACAAAATACTAACTATAAAACCCCAGCTTACATAAAAGAACTCGAATCCCGTCTTCCCGGCTATGGTCCAAGCTCCTATATATATATAGGACGGTGCCGATCCCCAGCTGCGGTTCTTCGCGCGTCTTGATACTGCTCCACCTTCACGCGTCCACCGATACAACTCTACGCAGCTCCATACCCCTCTCTCAATTCCTCCTGTCCTTCGCTCGTCCTTCGCCTTCGAACCAGCGCGTACAACGACACAGTACTGAAACGCGTTCGACGATACAACACTGTGTACACGTACGACGATACGATACTGAAGCGTGTTCAACGATACAATACTACATACGCGTGCAACGATACAGCTCTAAATCGCGCTCCTTGACTTCCATCCGTTCGTCTTCCAACTGTCCATCTCCATGCCATCTTCCCTCTCGAACAACAATCCGACATCAAAACTCTCCTGGCGCGTACTCCGGTACAGCTCTCTCGCGTCCTCCGATACAATCCTGAAATGCGCGTACAACGATACAACTCTTCTTCGCGCCTCCGCGATCTGGTCTTCTGCGCGCAGCGTGCTCAACGATACAACACTAAATGCACGTACAACGATACAACTCAGGCGCGCTCGCGATCGTCCTATCCTCCATCTTCCTCTTCACCCTCCTTCCGTCGGCATCCATTTTCCATCCATCGTGCTCCATCAAGGCATCCATCTATCGACTCTTCCTATCTTGCTTCTCCCCAATCCTTCGCTCCAAATCCCAAAGACTCGACATGTGCGGCCGCTGGTACTCTCCGGTACCCCCTATCGAGCCCGCCGACTACGACACCGGCCCTCCACCTGGGCAGTACTTTCCAAGCGCGACAGGCTTACCAGGTATCGCATGACGTGGGCGCTCGATCGATTGGAGTTCTAGTTGGCAAGTTGCCACAGTCTTCCCGACTATCCCCCCGCGCTGACACGCCATGCTTCGCACCCTGGCTACCTTCCGACACTCTTGTTACTGGCTACGTAGGTATTCAGCTCTGCCTCTCTGTTTGCCAGGACTTCCTACTGGGGCGCTGAGCGTGGTAGCTTCGGGCTCGTTACGCACGCATGATGGATGGGATAGCGCGTTCCTTCAACAACGTAACAACGACGCAACACACCGATGACACACGACTCTGCTCCAACTTGCGCGACTAACCCATCCGCGGGCGGCGACGCCATCCACCATGCGCTCGGCATCGATGCACCATGTTGCGGCTCGGTGGGCTCTGCGCCCCCTCACCTAGTGCTCGACTGCCTTGCGTCCAGCTCCTGTCCCCGAAGGACTTCCGCAGCTGCGGGTGGGCCCAGCCCACAACGGCGCGTTACGCCTACACGAACACGAAACAAATAACATACATAAAATTTACTAAATAAATATACACGACTAAAACATACGATATAAACAAATGTAAATATACATACCACGGGGAGAGTTAAGCTCTACCCCGGGCTACCGATGGGGACTCTGGCTTACTCACGCTCACACACTAGCACACTCACACACTCTCCCGGAATCCAAGGGAGCTACCCACAGGCCGGCCGCGCGCCGCCAAGGCAGCAGCTACGGCACGGCAACACCGACCCCATGATGTTAACCATCAGCATCGAACAAGCTCCCAGCAAATCCTGCGCGGCCAAGGCGCTTCGTGATGTTCATCATCCTGGAATTCTATCCTCGCGCATACATCCAAACAATCCATCAACGATCCATCCAATCGCGCGAGGCACGGGGACGTAGACACGACGGCGATATCGTGGAAACCCAACCAATCAATAACAAAGGCGGCACGACGATAATAGTAAGATGATAAGACGAGAGAGGCCGCACTGGCGCGCGTACGCGCTATTTATAGCGGTGGCTGGGGGCGTGCCTACGTGGTGTGGTCTCGGAGCGAACAAGGTAGCCGCCGTAAAGCGCGGCGACCGTGCTCACGACCGAGACGCGCGGCAACACGGTGCTCCCGGCCACATGCTGTGAGGAGCGGTCGATCGCGAGCCGCGACACGCACCATACAGCAAAGTTTCAGACAGATGCACTGACAAGAACGAAAATTACGACGATTTCTAGAGTGTCTCTGTAATTATGTCCAGCACTGTATACCTTTCTCAAATATCTATATTTCTCAATAAAGATCATCAGAAGCACAAGCCATTTGCAATAGAGCGCAAATTATTCTATATCAATATCGTAAACGGGAAACACATAGATTGAAAAGCATAGAAGAGATTTTTGAGGTTCTTTTGAACTGCGTAACTCCCTTTAGACTTCGTAAGTAAAATTGGCAATAGTATATGTAGTAGCCGCAAGCCAATAGTACAGAAGGTGGAAAGGATTGGACGAATAAGATGGTTTGCGGAAACGAAAGGAGCAAAAAACAAAGTCGTCATTTATTCCAAAATTTTTTCATAGGCCTGAAATTCCCACATTATGGAGTTTTTTGATTTTCTGCGTATTGAACAGCTTAATAATTCTTGCAAAAAACTGACAAAAGGAATCCCTACCCTTACGTTTGCAGAAATGAGCGGAGTTTGCTTTCTTCAATAGAAATCCATGGACTACAGAATGAACGCAACGAGTAGCCGAGGTGTCATTATCTCAGCTTAGGCGATTCCAAAAATATGGTTGAGTGCGCATAATGTAGACAACCTTATGCAGTAGATGAGTTTTCGAACGAATGCCAGCCTTCGCGCATAATTTCTGGCTAGAAAAGTAAACGCAGTGAAATTGTGACTTTGTGTGTAACGATCAGTAATTTTTTAAAAAATAGGCTAGGAGCTTGTCTCAACTATTGTAGGATAGAGCATGAAAAGAGTTTTTCAACAGTATGCTAAATGTCAAGGAAGGAAGTTTGATGAAAAAAAACTGTCCCGAAACAAGGCCTGGAAAACGCTCATCACTTTTGCACGAACCTAATAAATGCTTATGTAAGGAAAGCAGAGCATAGCTTTGGAGACAGCACAAAAATTCTCGTCTTCTCATTTTCTAGCAGAGGAATAATGCAACAACGGCATTTACGAGTGTCTGATGTGGAACGTAATGCGCGAGGGAATGAAAATACTCTAATTTCTCACTTGCACTCAATCTGGGGTCTTCTTGAACGTAGGTATAAATTTTTCACATGTACCAACATTTGAAACCATATGCATGTTTAGATTTTGGTTTCAAACTTGAGATAGATTGAAGCTGGTGCGAACTTCTACACATTTCGAAACTGCTTTCCTTCATCGAGCGGTAATCCAGCACCCAAACAAAAATAAGACTTAATGTTTTGAAAAGTCGAAGTGTAACAAAAAACAACATGAAAGTTTTGACACAACTCACTATTCACAATAGTTATCAAGAATATAAGCGATAGCAAAGAAGAAGTAAATTGTTTGATTGCTAAGGTGAGCTTTTGTGCAGAAAGAGAAAAGGTGTACCAGGCACGTGAGGAGGAAAAGATTCGTAATGTCAATGAATCCGCGACCTTAATTATCTGGGCTAATTGTAATATGAATAGCTCGATAAACAGGAAGCGAGGGCGTGAATTTGCAATTGACGCCTCTATTCAAAGGTCAAGCTCACTTTGAAGTTGTGCGGATAATTGCGGGGCAAACATCGAATTCACTATGATGACGAACAATGTTGTAATGACGCAGTGACCATAACAAACTTAGATTACGTAGTGGGAGTTCCATTGGCTAAACAAAGACTCCACGAACAGCAAGAAGTATAAATAGCATATGCGAAGATGGAACTTCAGCAAAGAAATGAGAGTACTCTGTGTAATTCTAAGTGTAAGTTGTTTCCAAATTTTCTACATCTACTAAAACCAAATTTTAGATAGCGACAATTGCGAAGACTGGTTTTTTGGAGACGAAAATTACTGGAAAGGATAATTTGATGACCAAATCTATGAGGAATTATCTCAAGGAGAAGTATAATGGAACTAAATTAAAAATTGTTCGTTTTTACTTGATCAGGCAAATATCCTTGATCTAGCGTAAAATGGATTTTTGAAAAGATGTAATTTCCAGTGCTACAATGACTTTTTGAAGAAGATGGCCAAATTTCAAGAAATTGAGAAAAACAACGAATGGCAGCCGTACCTGCCATATGGGGTTCACATACAGTTTCAAGCCTCAAGGTAATTATTTTTATTGGCGATGCTCTTGCACCAGAATTGACTTTGCAGTGGTTATACCGACGCGGCGAAAGACCTCAAGAAAAGGTTCGACAAGGATGTAGATGAGCAGGTGGGCAAAAACTTTAATGGTTGAAGAGCTTGATCAGGTTGAAGAGCACTATGAAATCATGAATGGCAATCAAAACTTCAAAGCTAGGAAAAAAGATAGGTTTTTTGACAATGTTTTTGACAATGTATTTTTTTGTAAATGACACTACTCGACTTTGACCTTACTCTTAATTTTATATTGCTTTCGCTCTCCATACTGATCAGCACGACTTGGTTTCGCCGACATAAAAGTTTGCTATAAGATGCCAAACCTCTCCAGAATCACTTACTTTCTCTGAAAAGGTTCTACAAGACTTAATGTATGTATTTAGGTGAGAAAAGCAATAAAGAAGTACAAACCCAAAACTCTTGGTGTTGGATGTGGTGCACACTTGAAAACCAAGCTTCCGGCTTGCTACATGTATCTCGGCATCAAAGCCGACACTTGTTCGATCAAAATATAGGATCAGCTTGAGACATAATTTGTACTATGTAAGAGGGTCGAAGTTCGACAATCATTTTCGCATAAAAATTTTTTAACTCTTATAAGCTTGTAGATTTTATGAATAAAGCCAAAATAAATATAATGCCGGCTGTTTAAGTGATTCACAATATTATGCATCGTGAGGTCGACGCGACGGATGTTAGACAATATTGAAAAATAAAAGCAGACATGCTCGGCGAATTGCAAAGTTGATCCGTACCTTGACAAGACTCGAAGAGCTGATGCCACTCAAACTCAGCTTTACTATCAGAGTGTACCATAATTTTTCTCCAATTTCACAAAAATTGTAGTCGTCCTGTTTCTTCCTTGAATGCAGCTTGGGTTACGTACGATAGGGCAAAGCAAGATATAAAGATGGTCACAAAGCTTCCACCTAACCATGAATGCATGTTTAGTCGAAGGGGCTTTTTATGGGATGTGCAATACCGCTCACATTTTTTGAAAAATAGACGCGAATGTATGGACATGTCCGTACATGTCCATACATGTATGGACATGTCCATACATCAGCGTCGCGTGGCCATATCTCTCTTCAGAGTGGACGAATTCTGAATCCAAACGACCATTCGATTCAGCTCGGCGGGGAATCTTCTAATATATTGGAAGTAGGGGTATGATGTCTTCTATATTCCGTTTCCAGTTTTTTTCAATTTGTTCTGCGGAGGTCCTTTCGCGAATATGTGAAGCAACGCCTACCCAGCATAGAAGACATTACTGAGTACTCTTCGATAATACTGTTTTTGTGGATTATTGTGCGCTAAAAAATGGGCTCAGACTTCTTTTCAAAGGAGATAGAAGCGTTGGTGAATTTTGGAAAAATCACGCGTTTCTAAATTCTACTCGCCAGAACTTCCTTCGGAATAAATATATTTTGAATCCGAAAGCAGCGCCTTGCTCAGCTCATCAAGGCGAATCTTTCTATATACAGCATGTTCTTGATATTTCGATTTCAGTATTCTTGAATCTTTCTGAGGACGTCTTTTCGCGAAGGTGTAAAGCAGCGAGCATTGTCCCGAGTACATTCCAGCAAGGATCTTTCGATAGCACTTTTTCTGTAGATTATGATGTGCTAAATAGTAGCCGGATCTCTTTTTAAAGGAAATAGAAGGGCTGGTATTGTGGAAAAATCTTGTCGTCCCAAATTCTACTCGCCATAGCCTCAGATTATGAAGCTTTTTTGCTAAGCAGCTGTGAGTTTCGAAATCAGCAGGTCGGATAACCTCTGTGAACAAGTTTTCCGATATGTTCGGGTTATTCCATTTTTTCTCGTTTTACGCTCCTGAAGCTCGCCGATGGATTTTGATCAAAATGTAGATGCTCCTGAATTGTAAGGAAACTTCGCTTATAGAGGTTTTCGATCACGTTCTTTGCGAAAATCGTGGTCTTTGAGGATTACAGAGTCTTTTTGGAGAGATACGGTGAGGTGACTGTAACTGCATCACGAAAGTGCGTAAGTTTACTCGCACTTCTCGCGTATCTGTCAGAAAACTTGCCTGTTTGCTTTTACAAATCAAAGTTACTAGGAATTGTGCTATCGAATGGTGTATGACTCAGGCTCCAGTCTGTGAAATTCGCCGAATTACGAGCCTACGAAAACACGTCCTCATGAATTTTGCCCAAAATGTAAAGATCGCATATCTCGTCGAAATTCCTCCGTGAGCGCTTGTATGACGCTCGTTGCAGATATTATGTTCGCTTCGTCGAACGACTCCCACTGTACTGAGTATGGTGCTTGCGTGTGCTTCAGCTGCTCAATTGAATATCAAAGCTATTTCGTGGCTAGAGCTCAAAGCATCAAATCTAACACAATAAAATTCATTAAAAATGTGGAACGATTCAATCAGCGCGCAGGGCTCGGTATGAGGTGGCTTTTTTGATTTTTCAAAAAAAAGCCCCCGTAGACTTCGCCACAAGATTACGACATCATCTATGACGCGAAATGAAAGATAAAAACGATTAACGAGAAATTATGGAAGTAAACATGAAGGAAACATTGCAGACGGAAAAGAAAACGAAAATGTCCTCATCCTCCTAATCGGCGGCATGGGCTAGAGGACTATATGTCGCCGAAAAAGGGCGGTCCCCGCGGTCATTTGCGACAAATACGCACCCTTGTACATGCGAGGACATGCGTTCCTGCAGGAATCCGCGCGGGACTCTTCCACATTTGGCGACATATAGTCCTCCACCCGGCGGCATGCTGTGTGCGGCGCTCACCCTTGCGCGCTTGGAGCAGGCTTGCTGCCGCCGTACAAAATATTTGGAGGGCTATAAACTGAGTTGTAGGGTTTTTGATGTAGAATGTTTTTATGTCAAACGTATGAAAAAATTATGTGAAGGAAAGAAAATTTTGTGACTTTTTCTTTTTACAGCCGCATTAGGTGGCTGTCCAGGTGGCTGTAAAGCCACCTAACACGGAAAAAGGTTTGCCACGCCTTCAGTTCACATAATTTTTTCATAATTTCTTGCATATAGTCCTAAATCCCTACTGCCCATCTACACACCAATTTTGGTGTCATTTCATACTCTCTTCGCTGTAAACAAAGTCTTTTGTTTATTTCGGGGCAAGTTTGAATTTGCAGGCTTACCCGGCGAACCTGTTGAAACAGAAGATTATTGGTTTTTGCAGAAATGGGATTGACAAGGCAGAAACAACGATTTGCGTCCCCTATAGAAGATGAAAATTGACTTAAAGGAAGAAGGTGATTGTGTGTGTATTTGGGGAAGGGGGGGGGGGGGGAGGGCTGAAGTTCCCGCTTAAACGATATCCCCTTTGCTTTTTATTCCAGAACGATATCTAGCTTGCCTTGTAAGCCACCTGTGCCGAGCCCTGTCAGCGCGTTGTACAAGCGCTCACGGAGAAATTTCGACGAGATATGCGATCTTTACATTTTGGGCAAAATTCATGAGGACGTGTTTTCGTAGGCTCGTAATTCGGCGAATTTCACAGACTGGAGCCTGAGTCATGCACCATTCGATAGCCCATTTCCTAGTAACTTTGACTTGTAAAAGCAAACAGGCAAGTTTTCTGACAGATACGCGAGAAGTGCGGGTAAACTTACGTACTTTCGTGATACAGTTACAGTCACCTCACCCTCTCCAAAAAGACCCTCTATCTCTCCAAAAAGACAATGTAATCCTCAAAGACCACGATTTTCGCAAAGAGTTCGAAAACCTCTATAAGCGAAGTTTCCTTACAACTCAGGAGCATTTACATTTTGATTAAAATCCATCGGCGAGCTTCTGGAGCGTAAAACGAGAAAAAATGGAATAACCCGAACATATCGGAAAACTTGCTCACACAGGTTATCCGACCTGCTGATTTCGAAACTCACAGCTGCTTAGCAAAAGAGCTTCATAATCTGAGGCTATGGCGAGTAGAATTTGGGAAGACAAGATTTTTCCACAATACCAGCCCTTCTATTTCCTTTAAAAAGAGATCTGCGGCTATTACTTAGCACATCATAATCTACAGAAAAAGTTCTATCGAAAGATCCTTGCTGGAATGTACTCGGGACAATGCTCGCTGCTTTACACCTTCGCAAAAAGACGTCCTCAGAAAGATTCAAGAATACTGAAATCGAAATATCAAGAACATGCTGTATATAGAAAGATTCGCCTTGATGAGCTGAGCAAGGCGCTGCTTTCGGATTTAAAATATATTTATTCCGAAGGAAGTTATGGCGAGTAGAATTTAGAAACGCGTGATTTTTCCAAAATTCACCAACGCTTCTATCTCCTTTGAAAAGAAGTCTGAGTCCATTTTTTAGCGCACAATAATCCACAAGAACAGTATTATCGAAGAGTACTCAGTAATGTCTTCTATGCTGGGTAGGCGTTGCTTCACATATTCGCGAAAGGACCTCCGCAGAACAAATTGAAAAAAACTGGAAACGGAATATAGAAGACATCATACCCCTACTTCCAATATATTAGAAGATTCCCCGCCGAGCTGAATCGAATGGTCGCTTTGCATTCAGAATTCGTCCACTCTGAAGAGAGATATGGCCACGCGACGCTGATGTATGGATATATCCATACATGTATGGACATGTATGTACATGTTCATACATGTATGGACATGTCCGTACATGTCCATACATGTCCATACATTCGCGTCTATTTTTCAAAAAATGTGAGCGGTATTGTATACCATATTGAAGGAAAAAAATGCTGATTCCAGATCTGCCTTCCTTATCTGCAGAACATTCATGGGCAAGGAGTTATGAGCGCTTATTAGAGCAAGGAATTGAATGTGCAACTAGGCAAAGAAATCCGTAATACTTTCTGGATCTTCACTGGAGAGTATAATCATAATCACACAGTGATAATCATTAGAGCACTTTATTCGAAAAATTCTCTAAAATAAAAAATACACCACACTTAGTTGCATTATCTGAGGGCTAGTAAGATTCTAACAACTTATTTTATTCAAAACATACATTCAATTTTTGGCTCCCAAAAAACGCTCGTCCGTAAACGTTCTGCAGATAAGGAAGGCAGGTTTGGAGTCAGCGTTTTATGCCTTTTAATATGGTATACATGTTATTAAGAAAGGCCACTTCCACTAAACATTTACTTGTAAGTCATAAATTCCAGTGCGAAATTCCGATAGTACTCAAAAACGGAATTTAGCTTAAATCGGCATCTTTTTTCCCAAACACCACGTAAACTCCCAGTTCACCCAAATAAGTAGTTGATACGGTGATAACCACCAGAGCCTCCATAAGACGAAACTCCCGCATTTTTTTCGTTTCTGGGAATAAAGAAAAACTTGTATGGGATAAAACGGCAAACTCCACCCGCAATGGTCCTGACTCCCTTCCACATTCTATGCATTGAGAAATACGACCATATACTGGCAACGTTGTAGGGTGTTCTCGCTGTCAAATTATGTTTATCATGTTGAAATCGGGAAAAAATTATAAGACAGCTCAATAGTTTACTAACAGGCATATGGCTCTCAAAGGCAGTGGCTCGGCAAAACCAAACATCTCAAAATTTTGATGTGGAAGGTTGCTTGCATCCCAAGCATCAGAATAGACCAGGTCCGAGCGCACTACATGCTGCCCCTGCCTAGAAAACTGCCCCTAAACCCGTGCGCGCAAGCCATTCTTACACACGCTTGGGCGAGGTGCGTTCCCCGTCCCACCGTCAGGCAATGGTATAAACATGAGAGTCCTGCAACGACTCTACGTCTCTAACCATGGCGGGAGTGGTTACTTGGTTGGTTCACTCGTCCAGATTCAAAATGAGAACTCTCGGAAAGCACTGGTTTTCGACATTTTCGTGCTCTTTGAGTTGTATTTTCTATACCAGCGCGTCGAATTACCCCAGGTAAGCGAAGAAACTTCAGGTCGAGGATTTGCCGAGCCATGCCTTTAAGCGGACCACTCATATTACCCGAAGCATTTTCTCTCGCCATGGACTGTCTTAGACTGTCTCGACATAATAGAACAACTGACGAGGTACTTGATAGAGTGTACGTATTCGTATGCGATCGTATGCGATCCTTGTGGAACGCTTCTTTGGAATGAATTTCCAAGAAAAGTGAGTGAAAGGTTAGTTAAGTCAATATAGCCATAGCTAGTGACAAGTACGTATTTTTGCCAGTTATGGCCATGTGTTTTTAACTATGTAGGAAAGCTATGAGAATATGTGGTATATTCAGAGTATTCATTTTAAAAATCGCAAAATTGCTTCTGTGCATATTGATACGAGATTTGGATTTTCTCCCAGCGAAAGCTTCTAAGGGGGAAAGAACCTTAGTCTGAGTGGCCGTTTAGGAAGTGATGTATAGCTTTTGGTTATATAGCTTTCGAAACGCTGATCTCGAATCTACAAGGTGTCCCAAGCAGGGCTCAACACAGCTGGCACCGGGTCAAGCTGGATATCGTTTTTAGCACGGAAAGCAAAGGGGATATCGTTTCTACAGGAGCCGAGGCGGAGAATTGCCGCAAAATTGCCGCCGGCATGCCACCGGCATGCCATTGGCAGGCTGTCCATCAACAAACAAAGGCGTTGTTTTCAGCCAAAACGCTATAGAATGATACAAAATTTGGTGTGTGCATGCGCATTGGTGGACCCGAACTATGGGCCAAAAATTTATGAAAATTTATGCGAATGAAAGCTGTGCCGAACTTTTTGTGAATTAGCTGGCACCGTGCCAGCTGGATGCCGGCTGAGCTGGCACCGACACTTTGCTCACATAAGTTTTCATACTTTTTTACATAAAATGTATCTACACTGTAAATGATTACATACGGAGAAGAAACAGTTTCATAATGTTCTCTTTTCAGCGTTTTATAGCAATTTGAAAACCACTCGGTCCGCTCCTCAGTCGAAAAATCGGCTTTTTCTGCTTCTCAAGATGTGATTCGACCACTTAAAAGGCTCAGAAAGCTGTGAAAAGTTCTTTCAATCAAAAATGCATGAAAACATCACTACATTTTTTACATAATATAAAAATGATGACGGGTTTTCAAAACAGGTCAAAGGGGATTTCGTACGAAATTTTCAATATCAAACGGGACTTCGTTTTGAAATTTCCCTGGTGCTAGTCTTTAAGCGTGTGTTTTCTCAGCTGCAAGTGTACGAAGCAATATTGTCACACGAAATTCAGCAGGAATCTTGTGAAAAACTTACAAAATAAGAAGGTACACTCAGTACTTCTGAAAAAACTCTTATTTGGCCTTTACACAAGCCCTCACACTCTTGCGGAACGCATGGCCTTGCTTTCCATGACTGATCACAAAGAAAAGTCAAAGACTCTTGAGTCGGCGATTGAAAGCACGTTGATCTGAGAGGCATTTCTGCGAGATTTAACAAAAGTGTCAAAATGTAGCAATCAAGTTCTTGAGAATATCAAGAAAATAGCAACTTTTGTGTGCATGAAATGATTTTAAAATGATATTTCGGTAAGGAATGTAGAACTTACAGCTAAAATTAGTGACTCAAACTGAATTGGTGTTGAAGTTTTCTGCTCTCTCGGATTTTTGTTCCCGAGAACTTTTTCTTCTCATTGACACGGCACTACTTGAGTGTTTGTATCTTCTTCTGTATCAATGAATAGAGACTACTAGTTCTGCACTGTTGACGAAAAGTGAAGCTAGCTCTACAATATGCAACTCAGAAAAACCGCAAGAGCTTCAAAGGTAAGAGAGCTATAGATGTTGAGTAAAGGGTACGCTAACATTGGGTCGTCCTCAAAATTGTAGTATTAATTGCTCCAAAAACAACAATATTTCAAGAATGCACAGCGCAGACGCTATGATTTTCTTGAGAAATACTAAGAACTAGACAAAGTACTCATACGCAAAATTTGACTGAAGAGCGAGGAATACTAACAAAGTTACTAAGTCGGGAAGTTGGACTCAGAGACTTTTGGGACACCCCGTATTTTCGTTATCTGCGAAGCATTTCTGCAAAAGGTGTAGTAAGTTTTTTCCCAAGAGTCTTTTCTTATACACGTGGTATAAGCAAACTACGCTGGCCATTTGTTACGGTTCTTGTCTTTGTATGGGATATGCTGCTCGGAGAGAAAAAGGCGTATAAGTGTTTCTACGTAAATGCCTTGCAGATAACGAAGTTACATAGATTTGAGATCAGCGTTTCAAAAGCAAAAAACCATAAACATCCTCCCATATGGCCACTTCGACCGTATCCATTCCCTTGTAAGTGACAAGAAAATTGGTGGAATGACATTTTCCGACGATTTTCATAGATGGCGGTTTAATCATTAAGTAACAAATACTTGATACCCAGAGGAAAGAGGGTACTCCAGCCCCTCTTTTTTACCTCATTTTTTTGAAGCTTTCGCGAATGTTGTAGGTCGTGAGAGTACTCTCGTGTCTGCATTAATGGAGATCATTTGTTAAACTGTTTTCTCACTGAGTTTCGGAACCTCTTTGCCAAGGAAAAGACATAGTGGTAGAGGCGCCACTCTAACTTAGTGTGCACAAGAGCCATTTTCGTTTCTTGGAAACTGAGCCCTTTCCCATCCGGAATCAACAAATTTGTA